TCCTGGGCTTAACTGGGGATCAGGAGCCCTTCCTGGGCTATACTCGGGAACAGGAGCCCTCCCTGGGCTTAATGGGGAAACAGAAGCCCTTCCTGGGCTTAACGGGAAGGGATGCCGCTTACTGTTTGTTTTGGGTCCGCTGTTCTGTCACGATGCACATGCACGAGGAACGAGGAGACGCTGGAGAATACTTTTACCAAGACTTTATTTTCAGGAACCAAGGGAGACGAACTCAGGAAGACGTTTAACAGCGGACAGAGAACTTGGGACTGGGAACACTTTTTATACACACACAGGAGGAGGGGATGACGAGACACACCTGGGAGCAATGAAACATCAAGTAATCAGGGGAGGAACAGGAAACTAACCAAATAAGGGCATGGGAAGGCACATGGGGAGCAGGACACACACAAAACATGGAACAGAGTCTGACAATAACACAAAATAGGTATCAATTTAAAGGTTAGAATCGCAGCTTTTTAATGAATGTAATTTTGAGCGCCGAGGAGTCCCTCTAAACCGAATTTACACCCCCCCCCTCCGCGAAAATATTACTAATCATATTTTTCAAACCACTGATCAACTTGATCAACAAAAAATAGATATCATCTGAAAGCTTAGAGTATTTGAAGCTTTAAAATGCTTGTAGCCTGTAATCACTTTAACTCCAAAGTAGTGCCGAGTTATTTGCTGATAAATGACAAAAAAATATTTTCATAAATTACAAAATGTGTTTTTTGTGTCATGTACTCTAATATGTCAGAAACATCATACAGCTCAGATAGTCATGTGTCATATGTCATTTTAAAGGTCTCATCGAGTAGAATACAACAAGTATAATTGTTTGGGGCTTTGACTAAACTTGAGTGAGGCATTACTTCAAATTCAAAACAACAATTTCAAAACTCTCAAGGGGTAAGAGAAAGGCTACCTTGGTTCCAAATGCTGTAACTTTTGATTACTTCATGATATCACCACAAAAGTTAATACACATAGAGCACACATGTTGGAACATCACCAAAAAACAAAATTCTCCTACCTTATTTATTTTGTGAGATATTGAATCTCAAATAAGAATGATATGAAAAATTTGACCACACTAATTTTTACATTTTATCACCTATTTCTCAACATGAAAATATATAAATGCAAATATCCCCCCCCCCCCTAAAAATATAGAAATGTTTCTATCAAACTGTAACTACCTTTTGACTCTCCGGAGTTATGAGTCATTAGTTTTGTCTATGGCACCTTCAGGGAGTCGAGAGCTAAACAAAAAGGCCTATTTTGTTCCAAAATACTGTAACTTTCGGATGCTTTATGCTATCATCACAGAATTCTACATTCTACATCTACATTGGCAAAAGTCAATTACACAAATTTTAAAGCATAAATATTACGAAATAACTGCTTAATTACATTTTACTACTGGGAGTGCCACCATTTTTCTTTGTTTCCACGTGAGATGCAACGGTCATGTGGTACAAGCAGTAGCTCTCAGAAAACTCCCAGTTCACAAGTTGTAATTAGGAGTTCTACAAGGAAGTGAACACTTTTTTCAAGTTGGTATCTCTTAATTGCGGTAATTGCAATATGGTGTGAATGCACCTTTATCTCTAAGTTTCTCTGTAGTAAATACGATTTGCTAATTTCCGATTAGGAAACTCGTATTTATGATGGCCCTGTCCCACGTGGTGGCCAGGGGTGGCACCTGCCCCCCTGAAATCTGGTTGGCCACCCCAGGTGCCCCTCCCTACCAGATATCTTGTGATAGGCTTGTTTTTAGTAAATTTCCAACTGCATCTGACAGTGGCGGATCTTGGCATGTGTAGGAGGCTGCTTTCTTCTCTTATTTATACTTAATTTTAGGCGGTTTCTATAGATTCTATAGGTTTCTATAGATCTTAATGACAAAAGTCCAGAGCGCATAAAGGCTTGTTCACACCAGGACGAATATCGCCGACGTTTAATGCCTAATGACTAAACAAAGGGCGCCAATGTGAGTGTGCACACCGACGCGCAAAACGCGAGGCTTAAAGAAATATTTTTTAAAATGCCTCGGGCTCGTTTTTTTTGGTTTGACGCGCCGCGTTAAAAACTGGCCAAGAAATGAGATTGGCGCTTTTGTTCACGTGCCTGGAGCTACCGAAGTTACAGTAAAACATGACTTGGTGTTCGCTCAAGCACAAAACGGTCTTACCGAGCACACATTGATACCTAACGACGAAGAGAAAGTAAGTAGACCAAGAAGATGCATCGAGGCAAGATGAATGTAAAGCTGTTGGTCTCATTGGTGTCTGAACACAAAGGGCTTTATGACAAACTCGACAGCGACTACAAAAATCTCGATAAGAGGGAGTTGTTATGGAGATGAATTGCAGATCAAATAGGATTCGATGTGTCGATGGGTATTTCGAAAATCGCTTGGGTATGAACACAAAAGACGCGTCGAAAAACGTCAGATAAGCGCGCGTGGGATAACACTCCCCAGAAAAAAGGGCACTTTCTCTCGAGGAAGAAAAAGGGCAGGTGCTCAAGCCCCCTTTGATGTCTATGTGTGCACGTGCCCGTCTGTTGTGACCAATGAATCTCACACTGCACAGTTAATATATTATTAACATCGTGTATACACTCTGTATGTTATAATGGAAGTATTCCAATCAGATAGCTATCCGATCATGAAAAGACTAGGTGTAAATGCCCTCCGAAACGCTTTCGAGACGCATTTAAATCTGATCGCTCAAACCACTTCAGGAGGTGGTCTGGCCTGCATTCCAGATGAAACCGGACAAGTGTAAAAGCATCTGGTTGTTGAAACCACATACAGTTGTGCTCAAAATTATTCATACACTTGGTAAATATGATCAAAGGCAGCTGTGAAAATAAATATGTATCCTTAATCCTTTCTTTTAATAAAATCTTTTATTTTACAAATTTACAAAAATCTAACCTTTCATTGTAGAATAAGAATTTAAAATGGGAGAGAAATCTCATTATGAAATAAATGTTTTTCTCTAATACACATTGGCCACAATTAATCATACCCTTTTATTTTGCCAAGATAACAGCTCTGAATCTTCACCTATAATGCCTGATAAGTTTGGAGAACATCTGACAAGAGATCAGAGTCTATTCCTTCATCCAGAATCACTCCAGACCCTTCAGATTCACAGCTCCATGTTGGTGCTTCTTCTCTTCAGTTCACCCCACTCATTTTCTATAGAGTTCAGGTCAGAGGACTGGGACGGCCATGGCAGAAGCTTGGTTTTGTTCTCAGTGACCCATTTTTGTTTTGGTTTTGATGTCAGTGTGTGGATCATTGTCCTGTTGGAAGATCCAACCATGGCCCATTATAAGATTTGTAGCATGGACAGTCAGTTTAAATTTTTTTATACGTTGGTATCTAATTGAATGCATGATGCCATGTATCTAAACAAGATGTCCAGGACCTCCGGCAGAAAAACAGGCCCACAACATTAAAGATACAGCAGTATATTTCATTGTACACATGGGATACTTTTTTATCCCTGTGTGCACCAAACCCATCTTGAGTGTTTGCTGCTAAAAAGCTCTTTTTTTAGTTTCATCTGACCATAGAAGCCAGTGCTATTTGAAGTTCCAGTTGTGTCTGACAACTGAATATGATGGAGTTTGTTTTTGGATGAGCGAGGATAATTTTTCTTGAAACCCGTTTTTTTTTTTTTTTTTTTTTGAGGCTTTCTGACCCCAAGACTCAACTAATCTCTGCAATTCTCCAGCTGTGATACTTGGATAGTCTTTGACCACTCAAACTCTCCTCACCATGCATTAGGACGATATAGACACACGTCATCTTCCAGACAGATTTGTGATATCTTTAGTTGATTGGAACCTCTTAATTATTGCCCTGATGGTGGAAATGTTTTTTTTTAATGCTTTAGCTCTTTCCTTACAGCAAAATTTGTGAAGTTCAGCAATATTTTGCTGCAGATCAGAAATATATTCTTTGGTTTTAATACTTGTGATCAATGATTAAGGGAATTTGGCCTTTGTGTTCCTCATATTTATAATCCTGTGAAACAGAAAGCCAAGGCTGGACAATTTCATGTTAGGGTTAGGGTTTTATCACACTGGTGTGATAAAAAAAAATGCAAATATGAATGGTAATATACTTCAGAGATATTTTAATCATAAGAATTTCTAGGGGTACCAATAATTGTGACCATTGTGTACTAGAGAAAAATATTAATTCCTAATGTGATTTTCCCCCACTTTCACTTTTTTTTTTATACTTCAGTTAAAGGTTGGACTTTTTAGAAATTGAATGAAATTGAATTGAATGAAATATCAAATGGATAAATAATGCAGACTTATTTTCACAGCCTTCTTTGATCATATTTACCAAGGGTATGAATAATTTTGAGCACAACTGTATGCAAATTGTATTCCTCCCAAAATTTTAAAGTAATAAACGTGTAAGAGCGTTTTATAGGCTATATGGCATGTCATAGTCAGATATGACAGCGCTAATGCAACACGCATAGCC